GGATGCAACAGAGCTGTATCTTGAACTGGAAAATTTCAAGAATCACGCAAGCTTGTTGCTTCCAAACTTGGAAGCAGCTAGCTGTTTAGATATTCTTAATATGCTAGAAAAATATTGCTGAATTCCGAATTATCCGAACATGCAGACCGCGCTGCGAATATTTCTGACCATGCCAGTCACTTCTGTGTCATGTGAGCGGTCGTTTAGTAAACTTAAATTAATTAAAGATATTAGGCGTTCAACTATGACACAGGAGAGAATGACTGACTTGGGAATATTAAGTATAGAGTATGAAATAGCCGAAAAATTAACTTTAATAAAGTGATAGATGAAATGGCTTCTGTAAAGGCTAGAAAAGTCAAATTTTAAGCGCAATTTCGTGCATTATTTTGTAGTAAGCAGATATTTTCGTGATCTGCGCATGGTTTTTAAGACATAAGTACTAAATATTTATGTTCTTTTGTTTCTGTTTTGTTTTTATTTATGTTGTGGGGCCGCCGAATTTTGTCTTTGCCCACGACGTATTTTACCCTAGATCCGCCACTGGCGGGATTTAACGCACTAAAGGGCCACCCTGTATATTTAAAAACAACTCTTTTTTTTTCGGCATTTTATGGTCAGTTTGGACGATAATCAAAACACATACCTACTTTTTTCTTAAGAAAATTAAATAGGAAATAATCCTAAAGTATCATACGAGGTCATGCAAGTAATTTCATAGAAAAATTCCATTCACTGTCAAGAATTCCAAGTTAAGTAATTCTCAATTGATAGCTATGAAGTGATTCCTAAATATTGATAAAAAATTATCATTTGTAAAAAGATTAAGTACATATTATAATTTTTACACAAGTGATCATGCGAGAAAAGATAATGAAACCAAATGAACTAACTGCGAATTTGCCACATCACGTTGTAGGGAAACAATAAACCGGTACTATGACTAAAGTTCGAGAGATATTTAATGCATCACTTGAAACACATTCACAATTATCGCTTAATGACATTCAACAGGTTAGTCTTAGAAGACAACGAGGCTTTATTATCAGTATTCCTATGAAATTATACTTAACCATAACGCAGATTACATGCATTAGAGGTATTATAAAAAATTGATCAAGTGCGAGTCGGACTCGCGCACGAAGGGTTCCGTACCATTCATTATCTAGACAACATTAGACACTATATTATTATAAACTTTTTTTCCGATTTAGCTGAAATTTTGAATGCGCGTATAAGTAATTTTTTAAAAAAAATGAAGAACCGCATTACTAAAAATTGTATTAATCAATAATAAATATGTAAAAAGTAAAAATAAATATATAAAAATATGTGAAAATAAAAAAAAACGATTAAAAAAAATCATCTTGACGAATTCGAACCTGCGGCTCCAACGTCATAGCAGCATAAAGTCCTAACGCTTTAAACCACGCGGCCACCGAGGACTTGAAAGATTCTATGTAAAATTCTTACTTAAAAGATAATGTTTAGTGAAAGTACTTTTTTATTTATAAACATTTATTTAATTCTGTTTTTAGTATTTGTTCTAATAGCGGCAACATAGATACATTATCTGTAAAAATTTCCACTGTCTAGCTATAACGGTTTATAAGATAGATCTTTGTGACAGACGGGCGGACAGGGAAGTCAATAGGGTTTCCGTTTTTACCCTTTGGGTACGTTTTTACCACTTGGGAACCCTAAAAAACACTAGAGGAGTATAAAACAGGCAAGAAAAATAGCCACAAATTATAAAAAAATGTCTTCTTTCTATGATTATACAAGTCTATTATATGTATATTTTTCCTATATAGAAGGATGTATCGAAATCCTCCAAATAATCCGCCTATTATTATTATTTCCGGATTATTCCTCCTCCCGTAGTATGCAAATCTTTGTTAGTACATGACAAACGCTCTGTACCTGGCTTATTTATGAGAATCAAATTTGCTCAAATATCATACAAATACAATCCTGAAAACATAATTTATACTGATGGTTCAGTAACAAGTGTTCACACTGGTTGTGCTTTTGTCCACAGAGAAATACCTAGTCAAGTATGACTGTGCAAATCCCTGGTTCAATTGGAGTGGGATCTTCTGGAGGAACCTAACAAACTCTGGAATGTCAAAAAGACATTCTTCTGTGGTTTCTCCACATCGAGTTATGATCGTCGCAAAGCCGTAGTAATTAACAGACTCATGTTAGGACATTGTAAGTTTTCTCATCAATTTTTGCTTAAGGGCCAACCACCGCCTCTATGTGATAAATGTAATAATCCTTTAACTGTCAAACAGTACAAATGTAGTCAGTTAATTAACCTAAGAGAGGCATGCAATCTTTCGTCAGACATGTCAGTTATTTTTTCTACAAGTGAGCAACCAAAACTTCTTGATTTTCTGGAAAGATCATGATATATAAAAATAATATAGGTATCTAAAACATAGGTAGGTATCTAAAAAGCTACATTTTGGTTTAAAGTAACCAATTACTAATTCAATTGTACATATTTTTACGTTTTATTGTTTTATTCTATGTTGTCAGGTACCATTTACTTTTTATTTTTACAAAATCAATGTCTGTACTGTTAACATATACAATCTGTCTATAAACGTGTTGCTTAGTAAAATGTCAAATATTGTACAGAACTAAAATAGCAGGTGATACGCCGCTAAATAGCCTTTGATGCTGATGCGGCTTGAAATCTAAATGTTTTCTTCTTCTTCTTCTTCTTCAGAAGTCATTTCTATCAGTTCCACAAAATATCCCGTCAATTCTTAATAATTATTATAATAAAAATCGTTAAGATAAGAAGGATATATGTACTTTATTTCGTTGTATAATCTTTTGAATACAACTGGACGTTTCGGGGTTACCTAATACTTTTGCCTGACACTCAATGCGATGCCGGCAACATTACGACTCCGAAGGAAGAGTAGTGTTGCGCAATAGGGTAACGCATTTCGTGTCAGGTAAAAATATTATTCGGTAATCCCGAAACATCTTGTGGTATTAGATTCAATAAGCAGTATAAGCACGATGGCTCCAGGTACCAACTAAAATTGAGCATTGTTGGAAAACATATTAATCAAAGTTACAACCAGGGTCAGACTGGCCATATAGTGAGAGTGGCGTTGGGTATATACCTGGTGTTTCTCAAAACTGGCTCGCTCCTATAATTTTTTTATTTTTTCAGATAAATAAACAAGATTTGGTATGTTAGTACATGACATAAATCAGAATCGATGGACATATTCAATTGTTTTCGATTATTTGATATTTCACCGGAAATGACTTGATTTTTAAATGGCATGCTCGATATTTTTTTACTTTATTATTTGAATAAAAGATTAAGGAAGGAGCATATCAAAAATCTTAGATTGACCGCGACGGGCTCCTAAAATGTCCGACTTAAATTCCGGTTTATCAATGCCGTTCTAATTTTATTTAAAACGTATAAAAATATGATGTAGGATAATAATTGTTGTTTTATTTTACGTTGTGAATAAATGTTGGTAGTTAAAATTGTTATAAAAATATACAATTCTAATAAAAATACATAAGTTATAGGGGAGATTGTCCCAGTGCCCGACACCTAAGCTCTTTCCCTTTTATTTTTTTGAAAAAAAGTCGATTACAAAAACTTAGACTGCCACTGATAAAAGAAAACTTAATTAATATATGGTAGTAAATTTAAACCGATATGAATTCATATAGACAGTGAAATTATAAATTTACGGCAGTACTGCTAATCACTTTGTAAAAAAAACTGTTCCCAGTACCGGACAATATATATTTTGAATATTAAACCAGATAAATAAATTTACAAAGCTTTTATTAGAACAGATAAACGGACAGATTACAAGAAATATTCTACTCTTACGAATTCATACTTCTTAATAAGTTAATGTATGCAATGGTCACAAACAAACTAAAGGATATTATCATTATCAGAAAGAACACTCTACATGAGCCCACCCATCACATCTTGAACATTGGACCCAGTCCTCCTCAAAAGTTTCACCGCAAATGATGCACTCGGTTTTGTTAGAAGCCTTTTCGTCTGTTTTCTTTTCTTCAGCTTCGTCTATTAGCGTTCGTTTAACAGATAGAAACTTTTCAGATTTGGTATTGATTTTGTGTTTTTCATTGTTTCTTCGACTCTATTTTGTTATACTTTGTTGCTTTGCTTTCTCCTGTTTTTTTAACTCAACCTGCTCTTTTACTTCTGCTTTGTCTTCAAGCATTTTGTTATATGGCGTAGAAGTTAATATTTCGCTTTTTTCTCCTTTCCTTTTCCTTGAAATTATTTTTCTCTGTAGATCATCAGTAACTGGAAAAATCTAACAGATGGCATTTTGGAAGGCTGTTGATGTGGAGGGAATTGCCTCATTGTCGACTGATTGAAAGAAGTTCATTGTTTTGTCGGTAAATGTGGAGATTTCCACTTTTTTCATTGTTAACTTCAGGTATGGCGGGAATCAACCCATCAATGGTTGAAGATGAAATATTTGTTTCTTTATTAGGAGATCGGGGCGTCAAACTTACGGTAAAACCACCAGAAGAAGTTAGAAGTTCCGTTGATTTACTTGTGGAAACGGAGGGAACTATTTTGTCAAATGAAGACTGGTTTAGAGATCCGAAGTTTAAGCTAGTAGAAGGGGTTAGTGAATGATTTTTAGGTTCATGGTTCTCTTGGTTGTCGGCTTCTAATATTTTCGTAGTGTTTGAAGCAGGAAGAAAATCTAGTTCTGTAAAGATATTTTTGTTTAAGGGATATATCCCTGTACATTGAAATGCAGATTGTGCCAATTCCATTCTACAAATTTTTGAAAATGCAATTCCAACTAAACCACTGATTTCTTGGACAGTTATTTTTAAGCCTAGTCTTCCGTATTTGCTCATCCAGACCTCACATGCTGCATTAAATGCACCTTTAAACGGTTTCATAATAGCTCTGTCCAAAGACTGCATTTTGTGTGTCGTGTGAGGGGGGAAAATTAGGATGTGAACGTGGTGTTCTTTTGCATATTTTTATATGCAACTTGCAGATCTTTATGTGTGCTATGGCCGTCCAATATTAAAAGAATTGGGTTTTCCTCAGTCGGATTAACTCGATCCACGAATGCATTTAACAATTTTAAAAATCCTTGGGCGGTTATCCATCCAGTTGGATGAGCGACAAAAATGCTTCCAACCGGTGCATCTTTCGTAAGTTTAACATCCATTCTTTCCCTTGGAAAAACAAATAAAGGTGGTATAAATTGGTCTCCTGCAGCATTTATACAAAGCATTACAGTTATATTTTTCCCTCTTTCACCAGATGTTAGTTTGCTGACCTGTTTTTTTCCCTTTAATAACAAAACTTTTAGTGCGTTAGAATGTACCACAGACACGCCGGTTTCATCGCAGTTAAAAATCCTACTTGGGGAAAAGGAATATTTCTTCATCAGGTTCTCCAGCTTCTCAAAAAAGGCCTCCACTTGTTGCTTGTTAAATCCTTGCGCTCTCTGAAGGCTAGTTGATTGGGCAGAACGCAACAAATATTCTGGATGCCGGTTTATAAACCCACGATAAAATTTATTTCCTGTTGTCTTTTTTGTTTTACTAAATTGATGCTGTAATTTGAAATGCTCAGCGAGATCATATGCTAACGTTAAAAATTCCTTTTTGTTGACTGGTAAAAAACGATTATCCAAATCCTTAAGGTGTCCCACTAGTTCATTTTCTAAGTCAACATTAAATGTATTTTCAAATCTTCCTAATGCAGGTGTCATTTTAACGGCATTTCCTTTTCGGAGAGTCGCGACCCTGTCTCCTAAAGAACTTTTAGGAACAGAGAAGTGGAACGCTGCCTCCCTAATGCTATATTTCCCTGACAGTACATGGTCCACAGCCTTTTTCATGCTCGTTTCATCCCACTTTCCCTTTTGTTTATTTGGCATGATTAATATGCCTGAAACAACAAATAATAGTAATAATGACGGCTATAATCTGCCTATTACGATCAATTATTTTTTGTCCGGTACTGGGCAATGCGACTGTCCGATACTGGGGAAATGTCAGCGAAAGTTAAAATACGCATTGAACATAACCATTGCCTGGAAACTTATATGATGAAATTTTGATAAAATAATTTAGTACTCACTAAAAACACGGTATGTCGCTAGTGGTAGGAAAAATAATTTTTAGAGGTTACTAGTTTATTTGGTTGCCTGTGATATGCATATACAGGGTGTTTCCTAATTAATCTAAAAAATAAAAAATCGTTAGGAAACGGCTTAAGGCGGGCTCTTAATAAGTATATTCATTTTTTTCTCGGCAACCGTTTGATGAACAAGAAAAACTCAAAAGATCAATTTTGTTGAAACAGGATGGCCAGTCAAGAAAAAAATGTATTTTCTTTAAAAAACCATATGTACCATTTATGTTAAGCAAAAAAACCATGTGTACCATTTATGTTAAGCAAAAAAATCGATTTTTTTTAATTTAACACCCTGTAGATCAGAAAGGAAGTACTTTAGACCTAATGGTTATATAAAAATTGTTTTAAGAACACGTGAGGAATCACACCACAATTTTTTAGACTAATTAGAAAACACCCTGTATATTGTCAACTTGACAATGATTGTTGATAAATCAAAAAATACCTTTTCTGTGAAAAAAGGCCCGATTTTCGCAAGAAAAATTTTGGTTTTTATTGAATTTGGGCCTGCGTCTGCAAATACCGGTATGTTTTTTAATATTCTATCTATCTAAATTTTAAATATCATTGTCAGAAATAGTTTTATTATTTATTAACTGTAAAAATGGTATACTGATAAGTTTTATCAAATATTGTGATTTACTTTCTACCTTGTAGTCAAAATGTATATTTAATAAACTGTAAAATATATATATTCTTATGTTTTATTAAAGTTACTCTGATATATTAATATATCAGTGTAACTTTAAAACTAAATCCTTTGAAATCAAATATAAACATAAAAAATATTTACAGCAGGAAAGGCGAAGGCGCTGGGTTAAAAGTAGTCTCTACTAAGAACACGCAGGGGCGCTTTGACCCAAAATTTTACTATTAAGTTTCATATCTATCTTAATAGAAGATTATTTTCTTTTATCTATGAACATAACCTAGAAGTAATTTCGTCCGTTTGCGCATGTGGTTATAGTCTCCAATAATGTAAGTTGTTATATAAGTTATTAGTGAACTACTAAACTTACCTTTACGTATTATAAAAGGGGCCTAAAGTTTAGTGGAATCACTTGAAAACACCCACGTAAACACTAAATCACAAATATCTCCACAACGACATGAAATAAATGGAAATGGCGCGAAATATGTAACGTACATATAGCGTTTTAACTGATTTTAATAGGGACTTACAGCCAATTCATATGGAAACGAGAAAATCAAAAGTGTCCGGTACTGGGAACTGTCCGGCGCTGGGGCAATCTCCCCTAATAATTATTTATAAATACAAACATCCGATACGCTACTGACGCAGGTAAGTCAAATTTTCGTATCTAAATTCTTTGACATCTAATCTTTGCCAAGTGGTAAATAAAAGCAAAAATGCAAGAAATATATAATTAGTTAATTTTAAGTGAATTTCATAAATGATCAGTTTACAACCACGTATGTATATTATATAGTCCCTTACTAGCGAAAAGTTATTCCATTATTTCACTCGATTTTTGACCGAGATCTACCGCACGCTACACAACCAACTATTTTACAGTCTTTTTCAATAAATCGCAATAGTGCCATCGCATATAGGGCTCTCTCCAGTAAGTATGATGTCAGAGCTTTGCGAAATGCGGGAAAGAATGAAAGCGACTTGATATTCAACGGCAGATGATTTTACATTTTTTGGCATTGTACAGTATTGAGCCTTTAACTAGTTCTGAGTTTGGGGTTGGCAGATGAAGATCGTACTCTAAAGATCATTCCTAAGTGGGTAGTTGTGAGATGGCCTTTCGGGAATAGCAGATATGTGCTTGCGGATTAAGCAAACGGATTCAAAAATGAATAAAGAAGAAAGAGTCGGTATTTTGAAATTTTTAAAGAAATTCTGGCAGTGAGTTCTACCGTTCAGTCCCAATAAATATCGAACTGCCCTCTTTTGAACTTTTAAAATACGATCAAATTTTGTTGCGCAGCAAGTACCCCAGAATGGAAGGGCATAACGAAGATGTGACTCAAAAAGGGCACAATAGGCTATTCTAGAGGTTGATATGTTAAGTTCCTTAGAAACTGATCTTAGCGCAAAACAGGCAGCGCTTAGTTTCTTTGATAAAGCTTCGCTGTGCCAGTCCCATTTTAACGAGTTGTCTACAACAAGTCCTAAGAATTTCATAGAGTCCACGAGTCAATAGTGGTGTTATTAAGTACAAAAGGTTATATAGTACTTTTATATGACCAAAGCTTTAGTTTTTGATAGGTTGAGGCATAGGAGATTAGAATCGCACCAAGATTTAATGGTGCCTAAGTCACTGAATATAGTATTATATAGTGCCGTAACATCTGGGCCGCTCGAAATGAAACTAGTATCGTCCCTAAAGAGGCAGATTTTACCGCTAATGTCTAGATTTGCAATGTCGTTGATAAACACTAGAAACAAAAGAGGGCCAGGTACTGAACCCTGAGGAACACCACATTCTATAAAATCTAAAATCATGTTTACTGCAAATTTTTTGAATCACACTGTATCAAACCTCAAGGACAAAATAACAATTGTTAATTGTTCAATACTATTGCCTTAGTGGTCTAATCAGTACAAGCAGGTTGATTGATGACCTGTTAAGTTGTTGTTGTCTTATCCAATAAACGAATTCCTATTCTACTTAAAGCTTTTTTTTTGTTATTTATCAAGTATTATGATTGATTAAATATTATTTTAAATAGGATAGAAAACAACAAATGTTATGAAATCTTCCTGCTCATCAAAATATAAAATCTTTATTATATTTTACTAGCTGATACGTGCTCACTTTGCTGTGCATTAAAATTTGGAACAATATATTATTTTTTTATAATTTACCGTTATTAAACTATCTAATCGAACTGGAATTAGTTTATTATACATAGTTCAGTAAAAATAATATTGAAATGTATTATTTTTCTATGCTAAGAGCAATCAAACTAACAAAACAACAATTAAATTTAGATTGGAATGCCCGTCAAAATTTTGTGTCGCGAAATTGTTTTGGGTCGCGACCGTTGTACGCGATCTGGCGCGGCAATCGCGGTTGCTAAGAATAACCGCAAACAAAAACAGAAAGTCGATATCTCTTGTCAAAGTCAGAAATTTTAAAAATTATAAAATCTTTCAAAATCTAAACCTCTCTCGTTGAAAAAATTCCGAAAAGTTTTAAAGCGTCCATTTTTAAAGTAATTATTGCTATCTTGTGAGTTTAATTTAAGTTTTATTTACCCAAACCCGTGATAATTGTGAAAAAGTGGCAGTAAAAACTTAAAAAGCTGTGCTGTGAACGTGGCATAAAGTCGGTTTCAAATGTTTTATAGGTATCTCATACATGTCCTTATATAAAATAAAGTTTCTTGTATGCAACACACTGTATTTTATTTATAAAATTAAAAAAAAATAATAAATTTTAATAAATAATATTTGGCGATATAATTCCGGAAAAAGCCGAACCGCTCCGAAAGCATCAAAAGTTTTGGGTCGCGACCGTTGCAAGAATAGCACCAAATAGTCTTTACATTGTCCTTATGGCCACTTTCCAATCTAATGGTCATAACGCCAATCATAATATCAAATGATTATCAAAACGAATTTCAATGTATAATTTTTATTATAGGTTGTAATTAGACGTTAGAGAGAATGTAAGTCTTTTATTTTTTCCATCATTTAAGTACCTAGGTATTTATATTTATTCCATTTAAAAAACTTTGGGTGTACTTATTACGTTGGTGCTGTTTTATTATAATAAACGATGTTCATATATTTGACTTATATTTTTTGCATGTATAAATTTTACTATTAAATTTTAGCAAAATAAAAACACTAAATCACCACAATACACCAAAACACTTTTACTTTTACACTGGACGCGCGTGTAATGTAACTGAGTTTATAATTACAAATTACATTATAAACTGAGTTTATAATCATCTGCTGATGATGCTAACATGGTTAGCGAAACGCGCGTCCAGTGTAAAAGTAAAAGTGTTTTGGTGTATTGTGGTGATTTAGTGTTTTTATTTTGCTGTGTAACACCAAAGGTTCCAACCCTCAACTGTAATTAAATTTTACCTTAAATTTTATTTTTTACACAACACATAGTAAAGCTTTACATTAGATTTGTTAATATTGTGTAAAAAATAACTTTTAAGATGCTTTTCATATTAAAATGACAGTTTCAAGTGAAATTATGTAAATGAGCGTATTTAAATTCAGACCCTCTCAATAGATGGCGCCACTCACATGAAACCATTTTTAGTAAGGCACTTTCCTTTCTTTTTCTTGGTATATTCTTTGAATCAAACTAAAGGAGTATTCCGTTGCTTACCTTGGTTATGGTTTTATGTTCGGTTTCTATTGGTTTCCTGAAAGTTTTCTTATTACGGAACACGGTTCCGGAAAAATTCGGTTATAACCTTAGATCTAAGGTTATAACTGTCACCAAACTAACCAGCGCGAGAAGGCTGGTTTTTCTGGTTTTGTTTGTCTATTGTCATTTATGTGACAAAATTCAAGCAAATATTGGAGGTGAGTCTTTTTATAAGGTTTGAGTGAAATTCTCATTTAATTTCTAAAATTTGTAATAATATTTTTTATTTACATCCAAAATCAATGGAGGTAGACAGTAAAGGTAAATAAATTTCATTAACTAAATAGAATGACTTTTTAGGACCATTTAAACTTATCGTGCAGACATTCTTTCTTAAAGTCAGGAACATTTAAAGAAAACATGAAAA